TGCCTGGAGTCTGGCCAGATTCTCATTTGTGATTTAATTTCTCCATTGTGTAGTTACGCAGACAATGAAGTGCCATTTCTCCGGTGTTAGAAACTTACTCCCAATGGCAGATGGTGATTTATTCTGCGCTGGTCTTATGAAATAAAGGATGATTGGGAAAGATGTATGAAAAATGCTCGTTTTCACATCTAGCTGAAGTGAAATTGTCATCTATTCTACTATTTTAGTTATTCTTGACACTAATGCTACAGGAACATTGTTTTATATATTTAGAAACTGGTCATGTCTGGTATTCTTTTTCTGTAATAGCAAAGAATGGAATTAAGAGAAATATCTAGGCAATTTTGTTCCTTTCTTATACATGGAAAAATTTTAGAGAGGAAACAAGATATATATTATACATTATTTAATTTAGTTGTTTTTTCCTCAGGAAAGACGGGAATCATTTCTTATTTAGATTGCAACTACTTTCCTGCTGATTATCCTTGTCACTATTTGATATTTAATTAGAATAAGTCCTAAAAATCGTTAAATATTTCTGAGGGTGGTGGTTGTACAAGACCAAGATATAATCTCTTCCTACATTTTGGAGACAAGGGTGATATTGAGTACAAGGCTACTGGGATCATATTGGCTTTATTTCAAAGTTTAAAATGATTCTTGCTGTTTTTTTTTTCTTCTCTCTCTTTTGACTTTTAACTTCTCGTCTACAAAGAAGAATAAAAGGAATGTGTTGGTTACCCTCAGTTTGAAGAAAGTCAAAGACATCTTGAGAGTGTTTCAGGGTTATGTTAAAGGTGTTTAGTGTGGTAGACAATGTTATTTTATGTGTATGTTTTACATGATACAGCCCCAAGTGCAGTTGAATTTATGAACCATAGTAGAAACTCAAATGAAGTCACTGTTAGCTGGCCGTCACCTAGAAGTCTCCTAGATGGATTCATTATTTCAATATCTAGTGAAAGCTTAATGAAAGAAGAAATCCTGCCCTCGACAAAAAGGTACAGAAATATTGAAAAGAAATTATGATAAGTTACATGGAACACAAGATTAACATTACTTATGTATATTATATTACATATATAATTTATTTTATATATTTTAGAAAGCTATGATAGTAGTTTAATATAAATAGAAATTGGAAAACTTTGCAAGACAACTTTTTGGACCATAATGTGATTAGAATAACTGGTGTACAGTATGAAATTTATTTCTGCAAATAGGTAATAATGAATTATTTCAGCATGTCATCATGCTTTATGTATAACATATACTTTTTTACTTAAATGAAGTTTCTCCATGTGAGAAGCTATGATTTCTAATTTGTGTTTAAGCATAAAAATTATTTCCATAATAGACAATAAAAACAAAGCATATATAAAATTCTTTCTGCCCGTAGTGTGAGAAAATGGAGTTTTCCAAATGTTTCTAAGCTAAATATCTTAATATGTGACTTTTCTTTACTGTGTAGGACATTCACATTTGATAGCCTTTCTCCGGGGACTGACTTTTTAATTAGTGTCATAACTACCAAGGGACAAAAGAGAAGCCATCCTACTGTCCTCCTGGTTAGCACTTGTAAGTTCATTTTATATTTAATTAACTTTTCATGGGTAAAAATCAGGGAAATAGTTGTGTTTAAAGCCTATCTAATTAAAAATGAATGAATATGGAAGCAGTTTATGACATGCTTAAAGAGAAGCAGAATTGTATTTACATGCGGAATGTCTGAGTTATATTCCTGCCTCTATCACTTATTAGTTATATGACCTTGGACACAACTGTAACATTCTCACTTAGAAAATGAGAATATTATTCCTGCCTAGGTGTAAAACCTTGTTATTAAAATCAAATGCAAAGCTCTTTGTGAAAGTTCAAAGTACTCTAAAACCCTAAGGGACTGTCATCATGCAAAAGTCAATATTTTTCTAATATTTTGTCTATGTCTATAACATTTTATGAAAGAACAAAACCTTGAAATGTGACAAAAATAGATGGCACTGTGGTTTCAATTGCATTGTTTGGGATCGGTTTGTCTCTTCTGACCTTCACGGCAGCATTTACACGTATGCCGCCCTGAACATAATGCAGGTACTCCAAAGAGCCCTGTCACTTGTGGGCCATAGTTTCATAAATGTGTGCTCATGTACTAATGCCCTAGCAATATGGGAGGAGGATTCATCTCAGAATTTGCAATGTAGAGGAAGGGAAAGCCCTGGGAAATGCAGCAACAGTCAAATCAATTCCTGGAAAATAAACTTTAAAAACTGAGCATTATTATATGCCAGTATGATACTATGTGTTTAAGTTACCACATTAAATCTCCCCAGGTTACCTAAAATGTAGATTGAGGCTCAGAGGTGTTCATAACTTGTTAGTGAAGGTGAGACTTAACCCAGGTATCTAACTGTACAACTGATATGACACTGCTGCCTCTCATAAAGACAATCCTAAGAAATATCAGAACTAGATGAGAAATGGCTTCATTTTTTAAAATGATAACATGTTATTTTATATCAATGGAAGCTTCTTAGATTGCCACTTAGATTGCTACTTGGGTTGTGTCATTATCGTTGCCACCAACACCATCTCCAAAGTTGTCGTCGTTGTTGTTATCATCATCACATTGAGTGCTTGTTCTTTGTCAGGCACTTTGCTAAGCCTTTTCTATGCTTTATATCACTTAATTTTCAATGGCAACCTTTATTCTATCAATCATAATGAGATGCATCTGTTTTATAAATGAGGAAACTGAGGCTTAGAGAATTTCAGTAGCATATACAAGAGACAGATTTCAGGCCACATTTCCCTGCCATTGTCATCTGTCCTCATAACCACTATGCTTCAATGGAAGAGCCACTATGGTATAGGAAGGGCTCACTCTACCCATTCCTGGCTTTGTGACTTTGTGCGAATAATGATTCTATTTGGACATCAAGTTCCTCAGTTGTACTCTGGGTTTAATAATACTTTTTATATTTGAAGAGGTTGTGGCTTAACTGTGGTTTCCCACACAAGGCTGGTAACTTTTTTTTCACCTTTCCCACTCTACAATTTGACTTTTATCTTCTCCTGTATATTAATAATTTTTGGTCTTTTTGTACCTCCCTTTCTTTGCAAGTCACCTCAAATCTATTTGGAAGTTGATGGAATAGTAATAAATACTAAATAGAGTTAAAATATATTATGGGAATATGGGGGGAAATAATAAATTAATTGTATTTGGAAGGGAATATGTGTCACAGAAAGATAGAATAAAAAGGATTGTGAATCAGTGATACAGGTTTAAATCAACAACTGAGCTGAATTCTAATAAACTTAAATCAATATGTAGTTAGAGACAAAAAAAATCTCATGAAAAATTTGAATTTTAGAGATTAAATTATTCCAATACAGTGTTAATATTACATTTCTTCCAGTTAAAGAAAGCAATACAAGATTTCAATTTGAAACATGAATTAAAAATACAGACATGTTACTTATTTAAAAATAAGTTTCTAGAACCTTAAAAAGGGAAAAGGATTTGTGAACTTAAGGAAGGGGACTAGATATATCTCTTACTTTATACAATGCATAAAACTGTAAGTTAAAAATCCCAATTGTTATAACTTCATACTGAATTCTGCTGTAAGAAAGTTCATATAATTTTAATATGGAATCGAATTTCTAGAAAATTCTTTTTTACCTTCCATTGTAGAGATGAGACAGAGGCTCAGGGTAAATAGCTGAGGTAAGATCACATGGTGCTAAAACTGACTTGGAAACCTAGGAATCCTCTCCTGTCTTTCACAGTGTGACAGTCCAAGGTTATCAGTCCAGCCAAGATATATAATGGCAGACATTTTTTTAAAGATATCATTTCTGTGTCTTATTTCATTGCCCTAGATCCAGACCCACCATCAGATTTGTTAATTTTGGGGCAGGAAGAAAATACAATATATTTGTCTTGGAAATTCCCACAAGGAGGCTTTGAAAAGTTTCAGGTAAAAAACAGTGCCACTATCATACAATGTTTATGTTTATTGAGGTCTTTATTTCACCTTCTTTTTGTCCTTCATTTTACATTAGTGGTTTTAGAGATTATGGTACCACTCCTTTAATGTAAAATTTTTCTCCAATGTAACTTTTTTATTTACTACTTTAAAAGTACAAAGTTGTCATGGAAGGTGTTCAAAATTTAATAATAGCTGATACTTGACTTTAAATGAGTTTGGATTTTCAATGGAGATAGACGTGTGCATACGTAGTACTGAAAAAGTGAATAAAAGAATGACAGTGCTGGAGGGTAATGCTTCTGTGACAGCACTGGCCGAAATAATAATTCCAGAAGTTAAAGCTGGGTGATGTGCCCCAGTCTCTCTCTCAGCTCCATCCTTGAGATTTAATTAAGAGTGGAGACTTCCAGCCCAGAGGGTAGGAGAGTAATGTGTACAGAGGAGCCACTTTTTAACTGTGTCTGCAAGGAAAATGTGTACATTCTATGGCTTTTTGTTGTTAATAATGTGCCCTGGCATCAGGTGAGGACATAGGGAACACACCCTACATACATCCCACATTCTGTGGTTTGCAGAGACAGTAAGCTTCCTGGGACAGCACTGTTGCTTTGTATTCTACGGGGGGCAAATGACCTTTCCATATTTTCACTGTGGTAGAAGGTGGTAATTTGAGTTGAAAACAACCTGAAATAGTTTAAGAAATGAAGAAACATTTGTTGTATTTAATACAAGTGTGCCTCATGGAGACCAAGGAAAAGAATATAGCTGGGTGTTTTGAAGACCTGGCATCAGATATTTTAAGCCTGTTGAGAATCCAACAATTACTTTCTTTCTGTCTCTCTACCTCTTTCTGCTTATCTGCCTTAGCTTTTTTTTTTTTCTTTTTCTTTTTTTTTCTGATGACCGACTTTGTCTGTTAAGCAATCCACGTGGTCAGTGGATGAATGCCATACGCAACTTTCAAGTATAAATGGTACATTATCAGCCACAGAGCAAGATAGATTCTCCTTAAATGCCCAAGGAAGGGACTGTGATTATTCCAAATTGGATTAGATACCAGTTCAGTTCTGGTCAACAGTGGTTGTAGGTCTCACATCATTGAAAAATGGTAGCCACAGGTCTGTGGGTGACGGGGTTGTAAAGAGAGTTATTAGAATTTGGGCAGAATTCTAACAAAAAACAAAAGGTGTTTCCTGTAAATAAAAAGTAACATAAAATTCAATAATTTAGAGAATCAATACAGTCTAAAAGGAAGCAGAGCAGAAAAATTACTATACTTGAACTAATTAGTACATCTGGGTTTTATATTGAGTATGAACTTGTTAATAATTAAGTAAATAAGAATCAAGGTAATAGTCATTATATGACAGACATAAAAAGAATCCACATTTATTTATAGTACCTGCTACTAAAGACAAAGAGGGATGTAGTAGGTAGTATAACGACCTTGCAGACATCCACAGCCTCATTCCCAGGACCTGGAACATATTATATTGTATGGCAAATGGGAATTAAGGCATAAAATAGATTTAAGTTTGCTAATTAGCAGGGGCTTTTTAAAATACTTTAGTTTTTCAATAACAGTTGACATACACCATTATTTTAGTCTTAGATGTACAACATAGTGATTAGACATTTATATAACTTACAGAGTGATCACCCTGATAAATCTAGTATCCATCTGACACCATGGATAAGTTATTACAATATCACTGACTATATTCCTTAAGCTATACTTTACATCCCCATGACTATTTTGTAACTACTAATGTGTAATTCTTAATCACTTTCCCCTTTCACCCACCCCCTAAGTCCTTCTCCCAACTGGTAACCATTAAAAGGTTCTATGTTTCTATGAGTTTGTTTCTGTTTTTGTTTATTTGTTTATTTTGTTTTTTAGGTTCTACATAGAAGTGAAATGATATGGCATTTGTCTTTCTCTGTCTGACTTATTCTACTCTCTAGGTCCATCCATGTTGTTGCAGAAGATTTCATTCTTTTTAATGGCTGAGTAATATTCCATTTTATATATGTACCACCTCTTTATTCATTCATCCATTGATGGATACCCAGGTTGCTTCCATACCTTGACTGTTGTAAGTAATGCTGCAGGGAACATATGGATGCACATATCCATTTGAAGTAGTGTTTTGGGTTTCTTTAGATAATGTTCACAAGTGGAATTACCGGGCCCTTTTTTGTCTCTTGTTATAGCCTTTCTTTTATGCCAGGTATAAGTATGCTACTTCAGCTTTTTGTTTGTTTGTTTCCATTCTTGTGAAATATCTTTTTCCATCCTTTTACTTTCAGTCTGTGTGTGTCTTTCAATCTGACATGTGTCTCTTTTGGGCAGCATATGTAAGAGTCTTGTTTTCTTATCCAGTCAGCCACCCTATGTTTTTGGTTAGAGCATTTAATCTATTTACATTTAAAGTAATTATTGATAGATATGTAGTGATTGTCATTTTATTATTCATATTTTTTATTTATTTTTTATTTTTCTTAAGGAAGCTCCTCAAGATTCCTTGTAGAACTGTTTTGGTGATGATGAACTCCTTTAGCTTTTTCATGTTTGAGAAGCTCTTTAACTGTTGTTTGGTTTTAAACAATAGCTTTGCTGGGTAGAGTAATCTTGTTTGTAGATCCTTGCTTTTCATCACTTTGTGCCAATCACTTCTGGCCTGCAAAGTTTCTGTTGAGGAATCAGCTGACAGTCTTATGGGAGCTCCTTTGTAGGTAACTGCTTTTCTCTTGGGCTACTTTTAAGATTCTCTCTTTGTCTTTAACCTTTAGCATTTTAATTATGATGTGTCTTGGTGTGGGCCTATTCGCGTTCATCTTGTTTAGGATTCTCTGCATTTCCTAGGCTTATATTGGGTCATCAGAAAAGTCATGATGTATTTCATCTATGTTTTTCAAAGGTCATTTATTTATATAAAGAACAAAAATCAATGATATGTTGCCCATTTTGTTCAATAACCTTTTGCCATCTTTCAGTGAGCTTCATAATTCCTCATTCATAGAAGTCCTGTCTTTATCAGTGAAAAACTAAACAAGGTGCTGATTTACAGCCTCATCTGAATTGAACGTTATACCATGCAAGGAGTTTTGAAGAGAGTGAAACAAGTGGAAGTCTGACGGTGCAAGGTCAGGCGAGTATGGTGGGTATGGCAAGACATCCCATCNTTAAAAAATTGGAAAATCTCAAATTAGGTTTTTTAAGACTATTACTGAGAATCAAAAAGTGGAAGTTAATTATGTGCTTCCAATATGTATGTACATAGGTCTGTCAAAATATCCACCTTACTTCTCTAATGTTAACATAGTAAACATAAGTTTAATGTATAAGTTTAAAACATAAGATATTTAATATTTTCACAAATTCTAGAACATGCTAGACAAGATACAGAGAAATATGCTTGAAATTAAAAAAAAAAGCGCTAATTGTAAATCTCTCTTTTTATCTTTCAGAGCCCAAACCAGTCCAGATTGTTATGCCTTATGAAAGTCACAGTACCTCTGTGATCTTATTTGTTCAAACCCCTGATATTGGAGTGTTTGATGGCATACATATTGTAATTGAAGGAGAGCTAAATGTAACCATGCCTTTAAAACATGACAGTAAGATAACTGTTGACAATTTAACCCCAGGCACAGAATATAATTTCTTTGTTTCCATCATCAGTGGGACTAAATTAAGTAATATGTATTATGTACCGGCAATAAAAACATGTAAGTATTTTAGGACTTGCATAAGCTTTTTCTTGATTTTAATTGTGTATACATTTCAAATTGGTAGGCTACATTCATTTTAATGCAGTCGTTTTCAAAGATCTTTGAAAATAACTGCAAATACCTCCCTACTGAGCCTGATCTTTATTGCCCAAATACGTAGATAGAGCTAACCCTGTGTAAAATTGAGAAGTCATGAAGTTTTTTAATCTATTCATTAACAAAAAATATGCTTGCCTATTAATCAGGATTTTCAATGACTTAATCGAAGAGCGAGGAATGTGAGTAATTTTAGGCAGATTATGGGAACTATTATATTTTTAATATATATTATATTATATTATATTATATTATATTATAATGTGTTATATATTATGTATATTATATGAATATATAGTGTATTATATATTTTGAAAGTGTCTTTCAAAGTGTATAATCTAAGTGTGTGTTT